AAAAGAAAAAAAAAAAAAGAGTTTCTCAGTTTTTTTTCAGACGGCGTGCACGCTCAACTCCTTCGTGATGCGCCCCGTGTTAGTATACCCTAGACCTAAATCTAAATCCTAGATACTAAATCCTAAACCCTAGACATTAAATCTTAGCCCCTGAACCTAAACCCTAAACTCAAAATCCTTAACCCTAAAACCTAAACCATAGATAATTAACCCTTAACCATATACCTATACCCTAAACCCTAAACCCTAAACTCTAAACCTAAACCCTAAACTCTAAACCCGAAACTCAAAACTTGAAACCCTAGATACAACAATCATTATGCGACATCCATAATGTGGCATCCATAATATGTCATACATAATAGTGAACAATAATAGTGGCGATTGATTGAGATAAGTGTGAGAAGTCATTGACACAAAAATTATTTTTAAGGGATAAAATAGAAACTATCCATATAATCTTGAACATATGACAGTCTCTTATAATTTTACATTAAAATTTATAACACAATCATTTCGAATTACCGACCATACACGCACATCCACCGAACTCTGACCACGTGGTCATTTCAATCTAGGTCTAATTTACTTCTTCACTATCAAAAAACATATTTTCATCTCTATCGAAATAGTGGCTTCCATAATATTTTTTCTATACATGATCATTTGTAAATTCATAATACATAATACGACAACCATAATGTTTTTTCTATACATGATCATTCATAATGCATAATACGATAATCATTATGTGCCATCCATAATGTGGCATCCATAATATGTCATACATAATAGTGGCGATTGATTGAGATAAGTGTGGGAAGTCATTGATTGAATTTTCACTTAGAAGTTTGATGGATCTGAAGATGGAGAAGCTTGTGGTATCATGAAAATGATGTAATTTCAGCAAAAGTTTGTTCGATTTTAGAAAAAGGATGGGATCTGGACAGAGCATATCATGTTGAAGATAATCGTAGATATCAGCACGCTAAAAAAACTCCGATAAAGCATAATCTCCTTTTGAATTATCGACCGTCCACACACATCCACCAAACTCTAACCATGTGGTCATTTCAATCATTTCGAATTATCGACCATTCATGCACATCCACCAAACTCTGACCACGTGGAATGCATAATAGTAATTTGCATACAAATGAGAAGGGCAAAATAGTAATTTGCATACAGATGATCCTTTCCGTGAAAACCTAGCCGCCTATCACTCTGCATTTTTTTGGATATGATTTTTTGTATTTCTTCCATTTTTTTCATCATTTGCTCATGTGTTTTAATGAAAATTGCTCAAAACCACACACATCCAACAAACTCTGACCATGTTGTCATTTCGATTATCGACCATCCATGCATATCCACCAAACTCTGACCACGTGGTTTTCATAATAGTTATTTGTATACCAATGAGAAGGGCAAAATAGTAATTTGCATACAGATCATCCTTTCCATGAAAACCTAGCCGCCTATCACTCTGCATTTTTTTTATATGATTTTTTGTATTTCTTCCATTTTTTCATCATTTGCTCATGTGTTTTAATGAAAATCGCACAAAACTACCTTTAAGTTACAAATTTATAATAAAAATATATGTTAAAATATTAAAGCAAGACTCTTGATAAACAAAATTTTAGCTTAAAAATTTAGAGCTACCGAGAATCATCTCCAATAAGAAAAAATTAGGTCCAAAGCTAAAATCCCAATCTGAGCAGGTGAATGTGGATTACAAAGAAAATTACATAATGAAATGTGAAAAGTAATACCGACGGGATAACACGAATATGTCGCGATTTCGTCACAGATGCACCGAGAAGCGGATCTCCACAACCCAACCCTGCCAGAGAAGATATAGGCTCACCACTGCTTCACCAAAGGAGCCCAAAAACCAGCTTTTAAATCTTAGAAGAGAAAGAAAAAGAAAAACCTAGATCTATTTTTTTTTGTTTTTTTGATGAGAGAGAAGAGAGAAAAAGAATGGAACGATTGTCTTTTTTCCAAGAAGATATTGCAAGTGTTTTGTATTTAATTTTGTAAAGTGGAGAGAAAGAAAAATGAATGAAAAGAGAGAAAGAATAAAGGTTGCAAACCATAGTTAGTTTGGATTGGTTAGGTTGGGTTGAGGGGTTTTAGTAAAAAAACTTAAAAAAACTACCCACTACCCCCCAACTGCTATAGAGGTCAATTGAGTTTGAAAAATGTGTCCCATAGGTAAAATTCTCTAAAGTAATGACCTCTCTAAAGTAATAATTCTTTCGGTCCCAAGTTGGGACCAGTGTAAAATATGACATAAATCGATAAATTAATAAGATAATAATTTTTTTGAAAATCTCATGTAAACATATGGTCCCATCTATATCATAAATTAATAATTGTATAAACTTATTAATATATATATATATATGTATATTTAACTTAATATATATATATATATGATATAAGTTTATATATGTTATATATGAATTACTATGATATATATTTAAAATATTATATGTAAAATATTTAATAAATTATAACTCTATTATTCGAAAAAAGTTTGTATTGTCTTTTAAACTTAATAATTGCTTCTCTACTTTTTTTTTTTTGTCAATTGCTTCTCTACTTGTAATTGGTTTTAAAAAGATATTGCTTATATAGAAATTTTTTATTTTTAGATAGAAATTTTTTAAGAAATTAAAAAATTAGTAAAATCTCTCTATAAATTAATACCTATCGATAAATTAATACCTCTCTAAATTAATAAAATTTCTTGGTTCCAACATTATTAATTTATAGAGGTTTTACTGTATGTGTTTAATGAAGAAGACTTGGTACACGTGAAACAGGGATTAAACCGGGTTCGGTTATGGATTTGTTGAATAACACTTGATAAGTACTACTCCCAATAAAATTCGACTAAAAACCAAAACCAAATAAAAGGTGGACTATTCACAAGATGTATTTGTCCTCACACTTGTCATTATAGTCGTACTTCGTAACCGCTGATAGAGTGAAGAATCGTAACACGAGAATTATATTGATCTAAGTGAATGCATGTTTTCCAAATCTTCTTGAATATGTTGAATTCTCAAATAATTAAGATTTTCTTCGAAGTTTGTTTTAAGATTTTTTAAAAAATTGCGATTCAAAGGTCATTAAAACACAAGTAACGCTCCCTAATTATAAGACTTAATAATTACTATTCCTAATAGAGTTTTTCTACTCAAAACCAAAACCAAATCAAAAGAGGGCTCTACTTTGGTTTGGAACCTTTCAGCCAACGCCAGCAATTACACCACTTGCGCCAACATCTTAATCAACTGCATCCATATCTTTATTTATTTTTGTATCAATTGCAAAATTTCTCTATAATCTAATAAATGTCTATTAAAACAGATATTTTTGTTAAACGATGGCTTCATAGTAATAAAGTTTTAGCACTAAACCAAAAGAAAGCAATCAAGTATGCAAACGTTACAAGCTGCAACTTGTAATTTACAAAATAAAACTTAACATCAAATATGCAAACACCAAACATATCATCATCCAATGAACACATAAACTTTATTGCATCTTAATCTAGCGAGAGCACGAGAAACAGATATCAAAAGAGTATGTCTATTCCTCAGATAAGAGGTGTTCGTCAATCTCTTTGGTCATCTCAGCTAAGAAAGGAAGAAAATTATAAGGGTGAGGCACATTCTCATCATTTTTCTCGTACTCAAGATGCCATTTCACCACACTTCCAACCTCTCCTTCCTTCGGGGTCACCCGAATCGTGATCAAGAAGCTCTTGTAAACGGCCAAAACATCTCCTTCTATGACCCTAAACTTTATTAGTTTCTTCTCTGGTTCCACTATTTCGATTCTCTCTTTTGCCACCTTTGCCTTCCCCGCTACATTCAAAACGTTCACCAATAAAATCACAAAATATTTAGGATATCTTAAAGAATTACAAATTCATAAGTTATTACCATAAACGTAGTTCCAGTTGACAATACTGCCTACGATGCCCCATTCCCCTTCGAGCAGATCACATGCCTGCACTTTGCTAGAAGTTGCTTTAGCGACATGGTCTGGTCTTCCTGCATACACATGGTAGAATTTCGCAGCAGGAGCTTTTATGTCAACTTCTACCTCAACCTCTCCCCATAGAGAAGACTTTGGCATCTCCTTTGTAGTCTCTGCCATATTTATTCACCGGTTGCTTCCCTCTCTCTCACCAGTATATATAGTCTCCACACAAGTATATTTTGATAAACTTGAGTCCGGTTAGAGTTTGTGGCCTTCTTATATAGAGGAAGGAGTGAAAAATTGTTGACTAATCATATAAATATTTAGTAATTGCATTTTAAATTAACTCAAAAAAAGGAAACTCCATTTCTTGCATTTCTCATTTAATTTTTATTTATTTGACTATATATAAATATATTTTCCTATATATATATATATATATAGTAAATATGTATATTTGTATAAATATATAATATACTTTACTATATATATATTGCTATATATATAGATATTTTACTAAAATCTTATAAAATACCAAAACATGAAAAATTAGTATATTGCATGTAACACTACAATAAACCTCATCCGCTTTTATTAAGTGTAATTAGTGCAGGAAGAAATGTCAAAAAAGCATGATTTTTCAAATTTTGGGATGTTTTAATCCCCAACTTTGAAAATATCGATTAAATCATTAAATTCTGGTTGACTTCATAAATAAATGACGTTGACAAAAAAAGACGAACTTTTGTTGACTTGGCCATTTGAGGCATGTCGTTAAGTAGATAAACAGAACCCGTTTAAGGAGTTAAGTGTCCATTAGAACTTCTGTATGTTTGTCTACTTAACGACATGCCTCAAATAGCTAAGTCAACAAAAGTTTGAGTGTGTTTGAATTTTAGAACTCGATGTTTCAAACTCCATTGCGCCAATTTATGTGTTTGCGTTTACAATTATAATTTCATATGTATGAACCATTAAAAAGTTTCATTTTTTCAAAGATTTTTTTGCAAAATGTAAATGAAAACACCAAATGCATATTTCTGTTTTGTTTTTATAACTAACAAATGAGCTTTGTTTAAGATTTATCTTTCGTTTATGTCTGGCGTTTGCGTTTACATTTAACAAATGAATTTGGTTTAAGACGATTAAGGTTGGTTTGTACCAAGTTAGTTGAGAAAATGTACAACAATGCAAACAAATAATCAAGGCTTTAATATTTTTCTTCAATGTGAGTAGGTCCGCATTTGATACAAGGTATTGGTGCTGATATCATTCCTCCCAATTTGGATATATCCATTCTTGATGAAATTATTCAAGTAAGTAAATATCATTCTTAGCTGATTTCAATGTCATATGAAACCATACTCAGGAATAACTTGCAATCTTTTGATTAAGGTAACAACTAACAACGTCTCTCCGGTGTGTCCTCAACCTCTTCGATCCGCTCCTGCTGCTTCTCCTCCACATTCTCTTCGAAGTGGTCATGGGCAAAGACTTTTTTCTCTTCCCAAAATTCCCTCCTGTGTGGAGTGGTTTGGATGTTCAAGCGTCACTGGTATTGCAAGGGTCTTCCTCCCGGTTGATGGTCTTCTCTGATTATGTTTCAGATTCTGTAATCCCTCGGATTGCATTGGATGCAGACATTCAAGGACCTTTCGTGATTGTTCTTATTTTACAATTCCTTTGGTTCTCTTGTAATGATCTGTTTCCACAATCTATCTCTTCTTACACCATTGATTGGTGGTCTTTATGGCATTCATTGCCTTGCTCTTTTCCTCCGTTTGAGGCCTATTAATATCATGAATCTATTAGTTTGACCCAAGAAAAATAAAAAAAAAAGTAACAAGTGAGAAAGCCATTGATTTGGAATAACTTAAAAATAGATGCTTCTTCATGTTCTATAAATATATGTGAAAACTCAATCTTCTGATTTTAGTTTATAAAGTGACGGTACATAAGTCACAATACTATCTTAATATTATCAAAATAAAACAGCCCAAACAAAACTGTTAAAATTACACAACATCTTGGGAATCAAAACCGGTTAATTCCTCTTTCCCTTGTTTTTTCTCGATGAAATTACCGTCCAGCCATCATCGGTAGCTGGTTCATCAACCGGCATGGCTTCTGGTTTCTGGTTAGATGCATCCACCATCATGTCTGTGGTTTGATCGTTGTCCTCATCTTCATCATCGCTATCCTCGTCGTTACCGTTTGAAACCTGTAATACCAAAATCAGTATAAGAAACTTATGAACTCTCGGAAACAATCCTAGCTAGATCAATAACCAAACCAATATAGAAAACTTGGAAATACCCTAGCAATGACCAAATAGACACTCTGGATAGAATCTAATCTGAATCTAATATGTGATTTTTACTACAGCCAGTATCTTGCTTTGACATGAGCTTTACGATCGGTGACTCAACCTCAGATATATTACTAAGGAATGTGAAAGCGACAAGGCAGGATCGGAAGAAGCAAAGATAACTAGAAAGAACGAACCTTGACAACACTTGCACTCGCCTGAGATCTAGTTGCCCTTAGTTCCTCAAGCATTTCATAGTTATCGTTACAGCAATCTTCATACAAATCTATTAGAGTGTTTGCCACCTTTAGTGGCATTACAAAGAAGAACTTATCAGTACCATAAAAAGAAAGAATCAAGAAATGGGCGTAAAATTCCAAAATATAATACCTCATCGACGCTTCCATCTTCAGCCGTAGTATTAAGCTCATCAAGACCTTTATCTAAAATGTCACCTAATTTTTCAATGTCCTTTGCTGGATCTACAAGAAACACATCGTTAGGTAATCAAAAAGCCAACATCTTTAGTTATGTTATCAAGTCTCACTGGCGTAACACTGCAAGTTTTTGATAGATTAAAATCAATGATAATTAGATTTTTAACCGTTTGATTGGATGAAAAAGTTGAAAACAGTGGAAACGGTGCCATCAGCTTTCGCTTGAGAGTCTCGGCCGCCCCAACCGTTTTCGACGGCGGCTCGCATAGCAGTCCATCGCCAAAGTATCAAACCAATTCCTTCAATCAGTACAGTCCTACCCTCCTCCGTCAATTCATTCATTCTCCTTCTTCTTCTCTCTATTGATCAACCAAAACAATTGATATTACCAAACTGAATGATTTTTTCTCAAAAATGGATACCACAGAGCTTAAAACTAAGCCAATTAGTAGATTAAATCACAAATTCAGAGAAATTAGAAGATTAAATCATAAATTTAGAGCTCACGAAAAATGTATTTCACAGATTCAACACACAAAAGAAAAGTAACAGATAACAAGTACTAATTCAATTCAAATCCCTAAATACCAAAATTTTGATCCGTCGTGAGATGTGAAACAGGAAAAGAAGAGAAAACCTGTAATTGTCGAAACTCCGGCTAGACGGTGAGCAAAGTAAGTTTGTTCCGGCCGAGTTTTTTTTTTTGTTTTTGAATGAAAGAAGAAGCGATTGATTCTAAGTTAGAGAGACTGAAACTTTGAAACCCTAATTAAAATACCCTAACCGATTGATCGAGTTAGCTAAACCGGATAGTATAAACTGGTTCAATTATCGGTTTGATTTTTCTAACCAAAGTGAAAGTGATCGGTTTCAATGAAAACCGAACCGAGTTATACATATGTTTGATTGTTATTGGCTAAATTAAGAGGGAAAAATCAGAGAAAGTCGAGGAGAGCCGTTCTTGTTATTGTGTAAGATAGTCACAGAATTGAATGGCTAATGCAAAACTATATAAATTCTGACCATCACAAATATAAATATTGCCTAGAGGGAAAAAAAAAAAGAAAAGAAAGAGAGAAAAATTTACCCAAAAATATGAGCGAAGAACAGCTGCAGAAACCTATAGATTGTGTTGATGTAAAAGGAGAGGCAGAGAAGATTTCGACAACGGAGGGAAGCATTAAGGCAGCGGAGGACAAAGAGAAAGGTGTTGTAGCCGAGGCCTCCGGTGAACAGGTTTATTTGTGAATATATAATCTAGTGGTTTGTGCTAGTGTCGTTGTCGCTGTTGTGTTAATATCCGTATTTAAATTTTCATATTGCATATGTATATCTTGTTGAATATTAATTAGAGCGTTGAATTTGTAGGCCGAGGGAGAAGTTAACCAGAAAAAGGTGGTAGCTAATCCTCTGAAATCAGAAGGAACCATAACAATTGGAGAGGCTCTAGAGGCAGCGGTTCTCACGGCAGGGAATAAGCCGGTGGAGTGGAGTGATGCAGCCGCCATTCAAGCGGCTGAGGTTAGAGCCACGGGGCGGACCAACATCATGCCCGGTGGTGTTGCGGCTTCAGCTCAATCAGCCGCCACTCTTAATGCTCGTGTCGGCTCTGACGATACCAAGACTACGCTAGCCGACGTTCTCACTGTAAGTAATAACACATAACACGTGATACATAAAATGCTTGAATCCAATATATTGTTTATTTTCATTTTCGGGTTCTAATTTGGGAAACAATGATTATGAAAGGGAGCGAGTAGCAAATTACCGTCGGACAAAGCAGCAACGAGAAAAGACGCGGAAGGAGTGACAGGCGCAGAGATGAGAAACGATCCTCATCTCACTACTTACCCAACCGGCGTGGCCGCCTCTGTTGCTGCCGCCGCTCGGATCAATCAGTCAAAGTAATACAATTCTTCATTATTGGTATTGAGAAGCAAGTTTATATAAACTTAATTAAATGTATATATGTTGATGTATATAAGATTTTCAAGTTTTTACTTTTACCTAATTAAAATAGGCGTATAAGCTACATTAAAACCCAATTTATGTCAACGAATATCCAAGAAGATCAGAATGAAATAAACAAGTTAACCAAACATCGACGTAAAAATGGATCAAGTACATGAAAGCAAGTTGGGATGGTTCTCAGATCGAACCGTGGTTCGCAGAATCAGTTAAGACAATACTTTGTTTGACTGGACCAACATAAAATCTCCGAGAATGGCGCATTGTAGAATGAAGAAGTCTCATGAACCAAGAGAGATAAAACAGCACACAGAATAAACCAGAACAAGCTAAAACAAAGTGTACAACCTATGTGGTATAAAACCAAAATTTCTCAAGAATCTAATGTAAGAAGAGAAAGAAAGTTTAAAGTTCAAATCTTCTGAGAAACATTCCCATCTATTGCCATCAACTGGATAGACTAACCTTTTCTAGGCCTAGTTCCGTAGCAACTGCTCGTAGTAAAACTTGCACCAGCTCTCTCACCCGCGTTTCCCTGGTGAAAACGAAACTCTCAAAAATCAAAACTTGATAGGGTCTTTTTTTAGTTACCATACAGAGATTTTGTTGTCACCCTTTTGTGCTTCGAACAAAAAACTGTAATTGAAAGAAGTTATATTACCTTGATAACACAATCTCGCACAGAGAGGGAAAAAGGACAAGTAGGTGCGCACGGGTGTCACGATTATCTTCGCGTAGGACGGTTTTCAGGTAGGGTTGCAATGGAAGAACAGATGCAACCTCAGGATGAATGCTGAGGCGGTCAAGTTCTTGGAGGGTAAAGATAATCTCTTCAAGTCTAGCTGTTGGGATTGGACGGTTGCCTGCCAAAAGATAACCACAGATTAAGGAACGGCAAGCGAAGAAGATGTTAGGGTTGATCAGAAAATGGAGACCCTTACCTAGATTATTTTCGTCGATTAAAAATCTACTCAAAATGAATTCACATCTGGCCATTAGCGTGGTGTTAGAGATCTTGCTCACTTCTGCTCTTGTGGAGTGCCAGTTCTCGGTTTCAGAGCTGAAACTAAAAATTTAATTGATGTTAGTATGTTTAACAGGGAGTAGGAATGGGTACCAAATCACAATCCATGGACATTCCTAATCTTCTGCAGCAGAAATGGCAATGCGCCTGAGGACTCTCCATATGATATGTATGCATATTGTTATATGTGCTTGATGCAAAATACACAACTAAAGTCAAGGAGGGACTCATAAGAGGAGCATGAGCTATCACATTATCAAGTATAAAATGCTAGTGTATTTGCAGAAGAAACAATCAAGAAAGTAAAGGAATAGGCTATAATCATGGACATGACATGCTCAACGCGTTATTACCTGCTCAAGGAAAACAATTTTTGTAAGCATGTCAAGGAAAATCTGCTACAATGGGCAGGCATCAGCTCTACAGTTTCAACAGGCAATGAGCATGTACGTGATGCGCAGCGATCTAGGGTTGAAACAAGCCGCTCTAGGACCTGTTTATTCAAGAAATGGACACATCATATTAAAATCTCAGACATTAGGATAATAACATCACCATTTACATGAAATCCAAGCTACTCACTTCTCGGGGTGCATCAACGGTCGACTTAAGAATGATATCGCCAAGACCGTTTAATAAGGCCATCTCAAGGGTCTCATTGGCCTTAAGTGCTGCAGCAGGAAGAGAATTTGAAAAAAGTGCACGTCCACAATAACCAACAAGGAATATATCGTAAACATCTCCAATTTCTTTCCAAATGCGTATTCGAGCTGTTTTGCTAATTTTCAGTTCTGTTTCACCACCCACGGAACATAACTTCACATCTTCAACAAGTAAACGGTTGAAGCCCTCAGCTGCTACCTTCCAGAGTGAACCATCTGGATTGTCTCGTCTTGTCATCATGCACCTGAAAAACAAAATGATCCTATAAGTTTTTTGTACACACTTCTCCCAGACACTACAGAAGGTAAATAGACATGGTAACTCAACCGCTCTACAGAAAATTAGGAGCTCTTTTCTTTCTGCAATTCTAGGCAGGGGAGAGGGAAATGGGGTTTGGGTTAACCAGATTAACCAGATTAACCAAATAACCCGTGATTCCGTTTCTAAACTCATGTTTTGAGAATGTTGAGTTGAGAAGAGCCAACTCATCTGCACAATGCCTATCGGAATCGATGTACAGCATATAATGAGAGTTGATTTTACCTTCTCAGGTTCTGGATGACTTCCGGAAACAGGATATATTTTTCAACTGCAGGAGCCTGAAGGAGAAGCTCTATCAAGGCAGGGATCAGCTTTTCTGCAAACATATTAGTCGTAATTCTTGTGGTTGGCATTGTTTCAGACGAAGCATCAGCTTTATGTTCCACTACTTCACTGCCTGGGGTGTAATGATAAAAGAATATTAGATTAAGACTTGTTGAGAGTAAATTAACATCAAGTACTTACTTGCACAGTGACCTGTTTTGTTCTGCTGAATCTCACCTTCCTCATTTGGCAGAACAGAATCAACCCGTGGAAGATAATGAAAAAACTCTCTTAACAGGATTAGCCACAGTGACGAAAGGTGCTCAGGAGGACCCAAAGAGGGCAAGATTTCCAAAACATGACGTAGTACAGGGGGTACATGTCCCTTGAAATAATCAATAGAATAAGCTTAAGATGGACGCAGGCAGCCAAGTTTTGAAACTGAATGTTTGAGAGGAAGAAGAAGGTAAATGATAAATAATTAGAGAACAGACTTACATATTCAGTTTCGAAATTTTCGCTATTTGTGATGGCCTGTTTTATAGCTAAATCAACAATTCCCAACAATTGCATGTACATTTTATCATCAAACATCTTCGATGACTGCACATATAATTCACCTGTAAAAACATTGGAGAGAAAGAGTAAGATCCAAATGTTGCAAAAATTATGTCACGCTAAGAAGAACTCTTTTTAATAGCCTTTTCTATTAATTCAAATTGTTCATCTAAGTCAGCAGAAAAGACTACGAAAATGTAGAGACTTTACTGAAAATTGAATTACCTAAACCATGCAGAATCTCTTGTTTCACCTTGGCTGCTGTGTCACCTGTGTAACTCGATGACTTCTGGAAAACAAGCTCATACACGTCCAGTACCGAATGAAGATATCGAAGTTGCAAGTTTCCCTAGTTCATAAAAAAAAGTTAAAAGAGTGAAATATGGATATGACAGTGTCCATTGTAGCTCATAGATTGTTCATTTAGCTGCATTGTTACCTTGACACAGTGGGACACAACAGCTGTCTGCAGACAATTTATCGCTGCCAGTGATACCTCTTTACTCCCATTGAAAATGCTATTCTTAACAAAAGCAAGCAAAGACTCCCATCCTACAGAAGCAGAAAATTTCACGATATTTCAGTTTCTCCTAAACAATAAGCACTGCAGGGCAGTCAAGGATTATTACAATTCACTCACCTGACCAGAAGTTCGGTAAACTTTCAAGAAGAGGAAAATAGGACCGGAAGAGACGGGCTATTCCTCCAAGGACAAGTACAAATGTTTCATCCCACTGCTTCTGGGCTGAATTGCGACTGCATATCAGAATATAGATGGCAAGGTTCAATGGTGGGAAAATTGGTAAAAATCTTTTGAAGTAAAACGAGTTATTCAGGCATCAAAAACTATCACAAAGAGATGGACAATGCAGAAGAGATCCACACGACAAGAATTCTTTTTGTCACCTATGATGTATAAGCATGTGCACAGCTTTCCCTCCTCG